CAGTGGAGATTTTAATCTCCTGGAAATCTGTTTGCATCTGTGTTATGGATTCCATTTGTTTCCTATGTTGGGATTCCATCATGTTCCTGAGCTCTTCTCTAGATTTATTAATCATGTCTTGCACTACAAGCACAATCTCTCCTGTTATCTGAGAAATTATTTCTGATTTCATTTTTTCCAGATCCCCTTTTGTTGCCAGTTCAGTGGGTCCAGATTGTTGAGTATCAGAGTTTTCCATCTCATTTCTCTTTGGGGTTGCTGTAGGTGATCTGGAAGTCAGGTTTTGAGACTTGTTTACGTGTCTTCTCATTTTGATGTGTTGGGGGGTGGTGCTGTTGCCACCTGCGTGGCTCACCTCCTCTGAGCTGGGAGCAATGGAACAATAGCCCAGAAGCCCTTACCTCTGGGCTGGAAGCAGTAGAAATGCCAGAAATTCTTTATTCTTTTCTTTGCTTTTCTCAGTACTGGGGACCGAACCCTGGGCCTTGTACTTGTTAGACAAGCATTCCACCACTGAGCTACATCCTAGCCTTTTTTATTTTTATTTCTGAAACAGAGTCATGCTAAATTGCTCGGATGGGCCTTGAACTTGCAGACCTCCTGCCTTGCCTCCAGAATAGCAGGACTGTAGGCATTTTCCACTGCTCCCAGTTTCGGACATTCTCTGAACTCACAAGTTCTGGGATTAGGAGTTTGTTGAGAGCGGGGCCTGCAGTGCCTGTTGTGTAGCAGCCTGGTGCTGTTAGAACAGGAGCATCACACTGATCCGGTTATTCAGAAAAATACCGCAGAGCCCCCTGTGTGCAGTCCCGTACCCTAGGTGCTGTCTGGGGTCATCAGGAGAACCACAGCACAGTGTGTTTTTGAGTTCTGAAGAGTCACACACAAGAAAACTAGGACTGTTTCCAGTGCTTAGACGGAGAGAGAATGCAGACTCAGCCACTGCACACACCAGTGCAGAAACGGGCGCTTGGCTGTGCTCTTCCCTGAGGAGTGGTGGGGAGGGAGGTGCTCCCAGCAGGATGCTGAGAGGACGGATGGGAGGATCCCCGGAGGTGGGACGGAGAAGGGAAGGACAGTGCAGCGCCATCCAAGTGGAAGGGCTTGGAGGAGGGCTAGCATGTGTTATGTGCTCAGCGCAGAAGTAAAAATTATGAACTCCGGATATTTTATTCCTGTTGATCAAATTAAAAGAAAAAATGAGAGCAGGTTTATAACAGCAAGTGTTCTAGGTATTGGGAAATCCTGAACCTTGATGGTGTAATGCTTTGAGATTATGGCAAAATTTGAAAAGGTATTTAACACTTGGTTACCTTGGAGAAAAGAATACAAGCATTAGGCCCATGGAGGGCAGTGGGATGTTCTTGTATGATCTGTATTTATTCTGTATGCTGTTGGCACGAGGCTCAGCAGTTTTGTTTTGTCTCAACATGAGCTCCCTGTGAGATTGTACTGAAACTGCAAAGGATCACCCTTACTCTCGAGGCTGATCCTGATTCTAAGAAATAAAGCTTGCTCACCATGGAAATTGATAATACTTAACCCGCTATCACTACAGTTCGAGCATCCCCAGAAAAATCTCAAACCCCAAATCCCCCAAAATCCAAAACTTTTGAGCATCAACATAATGCCACAAATGGAAAATAATACACCTGACCTATATGGGAGTCACAGTCAAAACATAGCCACCCTAAAAATACTGTATAAAACTACTCTTAGGTTAATTTGTATAAATATATGAAACACAAATGAATTTAGACTTGGGTTACATCCACAGGATGCATCGTTGTGTATATACACATATTCCAGAATCTGAAAAAAGTCCAAGACTTCTGGCCTCAGTCATCTCAGATAAGGTACGCTCAACCTGTGTCAAATTTTTAAAAACACTTGGATGTTAATAGTTTTTGTATTATCACTTCTTGGCCTCCTTTTTTGTTCTGTTTTGTTTTTAGCCAATGTCCATTGTGCAGATGCCTCATTTTCCAACTACCTCCTTCAGGTGTTCCCTCTTCTCTGCCTGAACCAAAAACAGCCTCTTACCTGAAGTCATTGATTCCTTTGCACACTGTTCCTTGCTGACTGATTTGTTCCTACATTCTGTATGACTCCTGGTGGGAGGAAGTGGTGGTGTTTTCCTTCCTCCCCATGGCCTCTACTTGCATCTCAATTCTCCTACACACTGTTCTTTCACTCTGATAGAATAATTTTGGGTTTTGGGGGGGGGTTTCTTGTTTTGTTTTGTTTTGGGTTTTTTTGCGGTACTGGGGATCGAACTCAGGACCTTGCGCTTGTGAGGCAGGCGCGGTGCCTCTGAGCTAAATCCCCAGCCCCATCTGATAGAATAATTAATGAGCAATTTTCCCCACACTTGTCTCTGTCTTGACTCCAAGCAGGCAGCAGACTTTGGTCTTCCTGGCCAAAGGGTACACCTTGACAGTGTGGAAGCAAACCTGCTTGAAGACAACCCTCTCCCTCACTGTTCTCCTCTGATGTCCTGCTTGGGCATTAAGGACTAGGCTGTGGGGAGAGAGGGAGAAGAACAACAGGAAGAAAGAAGATTCTGTGGGGAACAAAGAATGCAAATGCTAGTGACAGCCCTCTAGCCATGTGGATTATCTTTGCCGTGACCAAATCCCTGACACGCACAGTTTAAAAGAGGAAAAGTTTATTTGGTTTATGGTTGCAGATATTTCAGTTCATGGTAAGCTGGCTTCAAAGCAGAAACACCATGGCGGAATAATTCATATGTATCTAGGAATCTGTCCATTTCTTCTGTTTTCCATCTTTTTAGAATAAAGGTTCTCGAAATAGGTGTTGATGATCTTCTCAATTTCTGCAGGGTCCATTGTGATTTCACCCTTTTCATTCCTGATTGCATGGATTTGAGTCTTTTCTTGCCTTCTTTTGGCTAGGGATTTATCAATTTTATTTAGTCTTTCAAAGAACCAATGCTTCAATTCATCGATTCTTTGTGTTGTTTTCTTAGTCTCAATTGCATTAATTTCTGCTCTAATCTTTGTAATTTCCTCCCTCATGTGAGCTTTGGACTTGACTTGTTCTTCTTTTTCTATAAGTTTCAGGTTCAATATGAGGCTGTTTATTTGAGCTCACTCTGTTTTCCTGATGTGAGCATTCACCACTAAAAATTTCCCTCATGATTGCTTTCATTGCATCCCATAAGTTCCAGTATGTTGTATCCTGATTATCATTGAATTGTAGAAACTAATTTGTTCTTTAATTTCATCTCTGATCCATTGGTTTTTCAGGAGGGTGTCATTTCTAGTGAACAGTTTACTGTAGGTGTAGCCAGTACAAGTAGGCAAGGGAAAAAAGCCTATGAATTAATGGGAAGCGTAGGAGCTGTATTTATTTGTAGATTGTATGTATAGAAAATCTTTAACTTAAAGATCTACTAGACCTAAGTGAATGTAATGAGGTCCCAAGATACAATGTTCATGTACAAACACAATTACAATTTTAAATAAATGCTAAAAATACATTTGTAATAGTATCCCAAAACATTTACAGATACTTTTTACAAAGTCTGGAAAAACTCTATAAAGAAAACTGTAAAACTTTGCTGAAATTGCAGACTTAAATAAGTGGCTTATCATTTTCATGGGCTGAAAGATCCAATATTGTTAAGATAGTTTTCCACCCATCAATTCATATTTATAACAAAGATTTTAAGAAACTGACTAAAATTTATCTCAAAAGGAAATTGCCTCTCTTAACATCCTTCTCAGAGGTGTTTTTAAAGTCCAGAAAACTTTAAGGATTTTTTTTTAATTTTCAAAGTTCAGAAAACTAAAAACTATATTTCTCAGAACTCTGTTGAATCTAGGAGTCTGGAGAAAAAAATCAGTGTACCCTGTAGAAGCAGTCGTGTAATTTTGGAGGTCAGAATTGAGGCACAGGCCGACTTCTATTTCTGGCAAGCTAAAGTCAAACAGAGGTAAATGTTTGTGGTGACCTTTTCCTTTACAGAATTTAACTTTACCTAGTTATCAGGATCATGGGAATAAAAATCCCTTGTGCAGAGTTTGATCTCCGGTACTTTTAAAAAAAAAATCCCTTGGGCAAAAGACAGTGTCTGTAGAAGGCAGTACTTCCTGACCTCCAGATTTTGACAATGTGACTCTGAAGTCAACAGTCCAAAGATCTTTAGTCAACTTCTAGCATTCCCAGCTCTGTGGTTCAAACAAACTAGGAGCCATTTCTTCACTGAAATGTGGCTAATCCAATATTCCAACATTTTAAGTTATTTTTGGTTTAATCAGTTTCTTTCCCTGTTGCCAGGAATACTGATTCTCCCTTCAAAGGTGTCCATTACAGAAGTAATGCTATAAATTGAAGTTACAATTTGAAATTTCTACCTTATTCATTACTAGTATTTCTCATCTTTGTATCTGATCATTTGTGCTTTACAGGCACTGCTTTTGTTTTATGGGCCCTTGTTAGCTTTTAATGGATGTGAATTCTTCTGTTGTTTTCAAAGCATACATACTTTGATGTCATTTTCCTACTTTTCTATTAAAAGGAATTTCACCCAGGATGAATTCCTGCCCAAATGTCGATTTTATTGGCTGTCTCCCATGACATTTCTTCATGTTTTGCCACGTGAGTTGTAATTTTTAAGGTACATTTTTGGTTTTATTTCTTTTGTTTATAGATTGAACCTGTGTTTTCAATTCTTCAGCCCTTGCCTCAAGCAGAACTGAATCTTGACACTTTGGCCAGGTGACTTTTCAGTGCTCCCACGGTACCAGGTGGGAGATAAGTCCCCACTCTGTGGATGTGGATGGAGGTCATGTGACGTGCTTTAGTTGGTCCCCTTCTGACCTTAGCATTTATCATGAGGAAGCACATGGTAGACCCAGAAAAAAGACATGGGAAATAAAGTGAAGTAGAACTGAAGTCTGGAACCAACTGTAGCCAAACTCCACCCACTTCCAGTTCATCTGAAATCTCAAATGTAGAGAACATTTTTGAAAGCCACAGAGATTATGGAGTTAACATGAACGCAGCCAAAATTGACTGAGAAACTTACACTTAGAAGAGGACTTCTTCTATGAAAAATCCTGAAGTGTGTCTATTGTAGGAAACTGGAAAACTGACAACAAAGGTTGTGCAGCTGTGGAGCACATGAGATGCCACTCTCGCCCAAGAACTCGAGAGTTAGAAATGCATGCATTCAACTTGTGGCCCTGAGCAAAGAGTTACTGGCAAGAAGTTAATAGTACAAGTGGCTACTGTTTCTACACTTGATAAGAGGAAGGAGACACACTCAGAGTCTAACTGGCCAGTGTGTATACAGACTTGAAAACAAGAATTTAGAGAGCCCAGGGTTTCACAATTTTCAGGAAGTGAGACTGGTTCTCATCTCAAACTGTGGACAATGAAAATGACCAACATTTGAAACTGGAAAGTCATTCTAAAGCACAGGTTTAGGGCAAAGGCTATCTGAGTGTGTTGTCATCACCAAGACCTCAGGGAGGATTAAGGCAGCGCCTCGAAGACGGCTTCAAAGAAGTCTGAGAGGGTGGACACACACGATCCTGAGACACCCAGAGTGGGGACGAGATGTCTCAAAAAGAGTCACAGAAGCATTGTCACACAACAGCACGCCATACTCTATAAATGAGGAAAATCGTGCCGGAACAAATTTCCTTGTACTAAATTATCTTTCTCGCCCTGCTTAGCTCTGTTGCTCCAAGCATGTTTATCTATGGAACATCAGGAAGGACTTAGGAATGCTTTGCATTCTGCGTTCCCAGATTCCTAAGTTCCTACATTCCTCTGTAAGGTCTTACTGTGCCCAACATTGTGTTCCACCGGCGTTGTACGTCTGTACAGGTTCTTCCTTGTCCACTTTCCTCCTTGGCCCCGTTGGAAGTGGATTTTAATGGTTATATTTTCCTTGGAGTAAGTCCACTTATTGTCCATGACATTTTGGGTATGCAAATGCTTTTTGAAGTCTAGGATCTTAATTCCTTTCATAGTACAATTTCTTCAAAATCACAGTAGCCTTGTGACCTATTTTCTTCCCGTGTATACCGTGGGATAGTTGCCACAGCCACATAATTTACTAATTAAATTCTCCAGCCTTAATTGTTTCTCTGCCCTATAGTCACTGCATCATTCTTTAACTTTTGTTTCTGCAGGTTCTCATTCAATGGGACATATTTCTTTGTGAGTTTTGGTTGACTTTGACTCTGATGCTCATTTCCCTTTGTAAAACTATTTGTTGGGATTCCCTGAAGTGTAGGATGAGAGTTCTTTCTTCTGGGGAGAATTCAGCTGTCCAACCAACCAGACTTGGCAGTGTCATTTGAGCTCCACCCTTTGAGCCCAATGTGCAGAGTGGGGTTTACCATGTTAGGGGAACTTGGGCTGTGACTTCACAATGACTGGGCCACACATTTTTTTATATTTCTATTCCTTTTTAATTTAATTTAATTTGGGGGGTACCAGGGATCAAACTCAGGACCTTGTGCTTGCGAGGCAGGCACGGTGCCACTGAGCTAAATCCCCTGCCTCCTTTTTAACATTCCATTCAATATGACAGCTGCCTTCCCTGCAGTACTCAGGAGCTCAGAAAAATGCAGATGTACTTATGGTTTGCTCTAGCCAGGAGGGCAGAGTTCTTTTCATTTCTAGTGCAGTTCTGGGCCCATCTCTGATAAACATCTCTTCCTTAGATAAGCCATGTTTCTGTCCCTCTTGTCTCCTGAAGTTGCAGACATTCATAGTATCAGTAAATGATCTATGGAAAATTTGATTTTGATACTGATATTCCCCCCTTCATCTTCTGGGCTGTTTTTCTCCTAGAATTTTCTCTAGCCATTCCTTGCTGTGTTGTCACCCCTGATTATTACTATTTGGACAATAAGTGTCGCCCAAAAGGCCCATAACCCTAAAGGCTTGGGCACCAGCCTGTGGTGCTGTTGGGAAATGCTGGAGCCTTTAGGGTCTGGGGCTGGGGGAGGGAAGTTACGTCACCGAGGGCTGGTCCTCCTGGGAATATTCAGACCTTGGCTCCTCCCCATCTCTCTCTGCTTGATGGCCACCATGAGCTGAGTTTCCCTTTGCCATGCGCTCCCACTGTGACATCCTGCCTCGCCACTGGCCCCAGAACAACAGAGTCAGCCGACTGCAGACTGAAACCTCAGAAACGTTGATTCGTAATAAATCTTTCCTCCTTTTGAATGGATTTGCTCAAACATCCCGTCCAGTGGTTGACAGGAGACTAACACAATGATGTTAAGATTTTTTTAAATCCAGTGACCATTGTTGCCTTTTAGAGGGTGATTAGTTCAAATGACTGTATTTAAAAATAGATCCCTACAGCATGTTCACGCCTCATCTTATATACTGTTAAGTAATTTAAAATACTGACGTTGAAGTAAAAGGAAATGGAATTACTTGAGAAACAAAGAATTTGACTGCACTGAGACAGGGCGGACCTGCACAGTGTCCAGGAAGGCAAACTCAGGAGAGGCATTTCTAATGGAAGATTTTCACAGCAGGTGGCTTTTAGGCAGTTCACTGGTTGTGTGGAAAATCCTAGATGCAAACCTGTTTGGTTGGTGAGTTAGGGCACCCTAAGCTGAGATGTTACAGGAAGGAAAACTGGCCCCAGTCGTTTGCTCAAGTCCACTGAAACATTCTGTGGTTTACCCTTTAGCAGGTATAAGTGCAATTCTGTTGCAAACACCACTTGAGAAAGTCCTAGACCGAATAACTTCGTTTTCTTGCACAATTCCTGTGAAAAATGAAACCTTGAGAAAAAAAGAAAACCATGAGGCAGAATAATACAATTCACATAAATTGAAACTGTTAAGCCAAAGGGAAAAAAACCATGCAGTTCATGAATACTTACATGGGTATAAAATTCTTCAGAGGTAGACTGAAAACATAAGGGCTCACTGAGAAAAGGATTTTAAGAAAACAGAAATAAGTGGGAGATGGTGGTGCTTCAAATTTACCCAGAATGCCTATTTCCTTATTGAACGACAAAAGACTTAAAAAATATTTGACTAAATTAATTCACACATAATTTGAAATTATGGATATTTATCGTGTGTGTGCTCACATGGGTGTGTATTTTATATATTCTAAATTTTTTTCCAGGGTGAAAATAAAAAAAAGATCAAGGTTAGTTTGGGAGCATCAAAATAATGAAGAGACCCCCGTTCATTTTGTCTTACTTTGCTAAAGAACCAAATTTGAGGAAGTCTACAGCAGGGTGAAGTAAAAGGATTGTCAGAAGTTTCCTTAGAGAAGGGCAGAGAAAAAGAGGAAGCAGTGGGAGAAGATAAGCTCTGGAAATCCAGTCTGGTTTGTGTGAGGAAATCACCTTTTTCAAATGGGAAGCGGATCAGGAGATGGAGGGAGAGGGAGAGAGGAGGAAAGGGGATTGAGGAAAGGAAGGAAGATGTGTAACTGCACCAGCTCTGTACAAGGAGTGTAAACATCATGTGCTGCAAACATGGAGTAATGGAAAAACTAAAACATCACGGAGACGCAGCTGCACAGGGAAAGTGTTACATCCACGTAGTCCTCATCTTGAGAGCAGTCACGTGTGATGTATTGTTAATCTCGAGTGGGAGGAAACCCACAACTAATCTCAGAAAGAGCAAATGGGTGAACCTGCATAGAAGAAATATTTCCAAAAAAAAGAAACAACGAGTTCAAATAGCAAAGAAAATAAGGTACTGGCACTGAATGAAATATGAATAGATGATGTTCTTCCATTAAGCTTAAAGACCAGGGGTTGAGATTTGGTGGGGGAAGAGGCTGTCTACAAGAGACACTGCACATCAGTAAAGAAAGACAGAAAGTGAAGGACCTACAAAGATCAAGTTTATGCCAATTATAAATGGGAAAATGTATGAGAATGTGTGACACAAACATGTAAATATCAAGCCACTTAACAACTAGCCAAATACATAGAGAAAACCATTGGGAATTTGATAAATCTTATAAAATATGATTCTGACTAAAGATTCCAGTGCTTCTTGGCCCGAATCAGACAGAATGAAAGCAACCAAGGACTGAGAAAGACAATCTTACGTCACTTAAAGATCAACATGCCGGCGTCCTGTACTCTGAACTTTCTGATGCTGATACCGTCTTGATTTCTTAATCTTTCCAGAACACTTCATCTAAGGGTTAACGTATCTACATCACTACCCCTGTGGGCAGACAACCATGACATGATGCATTCAGTTCCACAGAGGTTAAAATGTAGGAAACAAGGGATTATTTTAGAATCAAAGTTATGGCTTTTTTTTATGTGTCAATAAAATATTTGCACAAGAATGTCATATACTTGACTACAAAGTATGAATTGTGATAAAAGTCTATTTTAATAAATAAATAAAAGTCTGTTTAAAGAAGAAATCTGATCAACAAAATCTCAAAGTCTTGAAAGACTCAAAGGTTAAGAAAGACATTCCTGGATGACCCTTATGTCAAAGATAAAATTGAAAAACTAAACATTTTAGAAAAGAATGAACTGAGGAACAATTTTCACCAAGTCTTATAGAACAGAGAACTTTTCAGTGAAACTTCTAGCCTTTAAATGCTTTCATTATTAAGAACAAAAGAAAGATTAAAAGTAAAGGGATTCAGAATTTATCTGTAAAAATTAAATCAAGGACCACAAATAAACCGATGTCAGCAGAAGAGTCAATAAAGAAAGTTCAACATATTAGTCAAGATACATAGAGAAACAGAATATTAAATATAATGTAGGACTTCAGTCTGAGGTCAGTGGAAAACCTTTAAAAAGTTTGAAATCCTAAGAGTTACATAACGAATGTAGACGTTTCTGGCAACATAAAAATTAAAATTAGATTTAACAAAATCAACACAAAAGCAACAGACAGGAAATAAATCATCATTTTATATAAATGACAGACACATGGTCAGTGTGTAAAATATGCAATAATTCTTAAATGACAAAATGGAAGGGCACACAAAGAGAAAAAACTTCAGCAAGGCAAATAAAATTGAACAAGAACATTTGAAAAAATGTTCAAACACACTAGCAGCCAAGAGAAAACAAATGAAATAGCAGTAACTCTTTGACTGATTGATTGACTTATTATTTTTATTGTTTTGAGAAGAGTCTTGCGCTATAGTTCAGGCTGGCCTTGAACTCATAGTGATCCTCCTGCCTCAGCCTCCCTAGGATTACAGGCATGTGCCACCACACCCAGCCTTCAATTTATGAGATTAATAAAAATTGAGACATAACACTTGTCTTAGCAGAGGGTAAAGATTTACAATAAGCACTAAAAATGAAGATTTTAGAAAATATTTTCAAATTACCCGTATACCTATCTAGAAATGCAGTTAAACTCTACTAAAATATTTTGGCTTAAACAATGGACTTGATATTAGGTAAGCCGTGACAGTAACAAGTTGGATGGGAAAACATAAAAATAATCTCATATTTGTAAGTGTCAACTATAAAGTATCTAAGAATGCAGATATCCAGAAAGATTCAGAGAATATGTGAAGTAATGATGTAAGCTAATAAATGAGTAATCATAAAATAGCATAAAGGAAAAATATATAAGACTATAAGTCCTCATGACTTTTTCCAGTAAAAAGCCAAGTTTTAAACCTAAACTCATATATTCAAAGACATTTCATTAAGAATTATAGCCAGAGTGCAAGGACCCGAGTTCAATCCCCGGTACCAAAAACAAAACAAAACAAAACAAAAAAATGAATTATAGCCGGGCATGATAGTACACACCTGTAATCTCAGCACTCAGGAGACTGAGTCAGGAGGATCCCTGGAAGTATGCAAAGTCTTTGAATATATGTGTTTAGGTTTAAAACTTGGCTTTTTCCTGTAAAAAGCCATGAAGACTTACAGTCTTATATATTTTTCCTTTATGCTATTTTATGATTACTCATTTATTAGCTTACATCATTTTGATATATTTGTAGTTTTATACTTTTTACACTGAAGCCACTAAAGCAAAATTAAATCTTTCTTTTTTTCCTGTTGAAATACTTTTTTGAAGGATAGAAAAAGTTTGAACTGGGGAAAAGTAATATCTTTCTATTAAAGCACTTAGATTTTTTATGTATAGACATAAGTATTTTCTTTTTTTTTTGTAAAAAAATGTAATATCTAACTAGATGCCATTAACTCATGGGGTTTAAGTTCAATGAATAAAGTTTTTTCCAAATGAGTGTGAAATCTAAGTAGTTCTCCTTTGTATGCAGAGCTTATGGGCCACAACTCCAAGAATGCTTGAAACCCAAACTCTATATGCACTCATTTTTTTCTTTACATATGGTAAAATTGAAATTATAAATAAGAAAAAAAGTATAAATTAGGCACAGGAAGGTGATTGACAACAACTTGTATAATAGAACAATATAGCTCTGTAAGAGTGAAGTGAATGTGTTCTCCCTCACTCTCCCAATAGCTTACCAAATACTTTAACTTCCACATCGGATTATTTCTTTATTTATTAAGCTGCTGACTTTTACCTCTTCACTTAGCACCGGACAGCTTCTCTTTGGCAGATCTGAATTGCCAGCACACTCACTGCTATACTTTCTGGCCATTACTAAGTAAAATAGGGTTTCTTGAACTCGAGCACGGTGGAACTGTGATGGTGGAGCTGATCATTAGGCAGAAGGTAACAAAGTGGCCTTGGATGATTCAGTTTAGGCCTGGACAAAGTGGGGATTCACATCCTGGGCAGGAAGGAGACAGGAACCACACAAGATTTCATCACACTACCAGAATAGCACACAATCTAAAGTTCACAGATTGATTACTTCTGGGATTTTTCCATTTAATGTTTTTGGACTGCAGCTGAGTACTGTATTGTTTCCAAGGAGAAAAAAATATAAGATGCAGTTCTCTGACCATTAAGTTAATTAACACATTTTATATATAAGAATTACAGTGACCTTTATTTTTCTCCCAACACAAGTATTTTTTTAAAGGACAGCTGAATACAAAGAATTAGAAAGTTTTGCTTAATATCTGATTTTCGTTGGTTTTTAGAGCCATTCCATATTGAGATCATTATTAAGTGATTCATTTCAAACTTATCTGAAAACATTTGAACTACTCTAGACTTTTGAAGTCCTCCAATCATAACCCATGCCCTGAAATTATTCCATCTCTTGGGAAATATACAGCCCAACCCCAGTGCTTCATCGTCAAAAGCAGAAATCTCCTTTGGGATTCAAAGGCGTTCTTATTCCTCAGGATGGACTCAAATTTTGTGGGACTTAAAAGTTATGCAAACATTGAGAGGAAGTGCACTTTTTAATGGAGCATAGTGCCATTTTGTCATAAAGGCCCACTGTTGTGGATGCATAATTGCCACGTTTATTCTTTAGAATATTTTTATTAATAAATTATTAATTTAAATTTTGAGTTTTATTATATTAAACAATGAGTACTTAAGAGAAAAAAATACAAAAAAATAAAATATTGAATTTTCAATATTATTTATAAAAAAGCATCAAATTTTTAATATCAACTGCTTTTTGGTGTACAATGTCTAAATAACAAATAAATTCCTATATGAACTACAGTGAAATACCAATAAAACTCTATGCAAAAATAATCTTTGCTTCAACTGTCACACTCAAGGCAATCTTCACACCTGACAATGGCATGTTCCATGCACATGTATTTCTTACACCGACAGCACATGTGTTTTGCTTTCCTGGCCTTTTTTGTAGAACATACTTGACATCTCACTGGTCTTACTGATATGTCAGAAACTTCCTACTGTATTGTGCAATGTGTACTTACTTAGCAGGAACATAAAATATCAATAAAATAAAGTATTAAATTCTTAATATGTATTGCGTGTTTAGAATAGACATCAGCATTTTCACATCAGCTGTTTACTTGCTTACAAAACCTAAAAGATTATATCAGAAATAAATACCTGTGTGAACTTCAATGTAGATTCAAATAAAAGTCTACCACAGAAGTAATCTTTGCTTCAAGGGTTAAACCCAAGGCAGTCTTCACACATGAAAACTGCACAAATATCACTGATAGCATGTATTTTTGTTTTCCTGTCTTTTCTTGAAGGGCACAGTTGACATCTTTTTTGTTTTCCTGTTGTTGTGGAAGGTCATGCTGACGTGCTGCACTTGCCTGTTCACCTGTCAGCTCGCCAGTATGCGCCACAATTTTTTGTATAGTTCCCTGAGCAGAAACATTTTGTTTTTCCTCTGCTGTAAATAATCACTTATGAGTTCCAGTCTCAATCCTCTAAGAAAATTTCTCTGTGGTATTTTGCCCTTATTATTTTCTTTGTAAACCATCAAACTAGTTATGTCATACATGTTTAAGATCAAGTAAAACACAAGCATTGGCCAACACTTTGTGTTTCAAGGGACATCATGGTTGTTGCATAACTCATGAACAACATCTATTTCGTCTTTGGTTTTGTTGTAGAATGTTACCATCTCAGGCTTCCATTATGTTGAGGTTTCCCTATCAGTATTTCCATCATGGTGAAATGTTGACATTAGCAGTACCAGTTTGTTTTTCTTTGCCATATATGAGGCCAATGTTATATCTTTCTGAAATCCAAAGATTATACTGTACAATTTTCTGTTTTGAAATCACAACATTTCATTTGGAATTTCTACTTTGTTCCTTCATACAATTCCTACACTGGTCAACTTGTGCTCTGTTAGCAAATGTAACATCAATTGGAAACTGGTTAACCAATTGTTGAATCTCACATTCTGATTAGTTCAGGAGATGGGAGCAACAGGTCTGTTCACAACATCATTTGGTTTATTACTATATGAATAAGGACCTGGTGGCTAAGTTCCAGGATAAATTTCTAAATTGAAACCATAATAAGTTTTCACACTACAAGTGCATAAATTTTTATGCCATATTTTGAAGGTTGTTTTTTTTTTTTTTTTGCCATATACTGCCTGAAGCTACAGCAACCACAAAATGCCACAAGATGTTCATCAATAGTCATGTATTCAGATGGTATAAATTGTTTGACAATTATTCACAAATTTCTCAAATAATGATTGAATAACAGCCAGATTATCAGTTCTTTTTCTTTCTTGGCAGGTGATTTTGTCATAATACCAAAGGCAATTTTGAAGGGAACCAAATCTCCTCAGTCATTGTTATTCTACAAACCTCAAGCTCACACCCATCGCTTTTCCTTAAGTCTTTTACATTCCTGCAATTACCATGAGAAAGCCCTGCTAAGTACAGTAGGCCTATGAATGCTTTCAGTTCAGCTAGTGAGGTGCTATAATAAATACATTTTTGAGTATGGCTACTGGTCCATACCAAACATTTTACTCATATTTCAGCATTTATGTATTTCAAACATCTTGTAGCATTTCATTTGTTACAATTTCCAAGATTAAATGGCAGTGCTGCAATTCTGTCCAATAGGTTTCACACCTACCAAGATCCTCACTATATTTTTGGATCTAGTTCAACATTGGATTGTTCCAGTTAGTTGCATGATCATTTTGTACCATTTTGATTAGTCAAATATGTACTCACATTGCTGTTTTCTTCATCATCTGAATCAGGAAGGTCTGCATTCTCTGTATCTGTATTGGTTAATTCTTGCTCCATTTCACTGTATAGGAACTTTGGTTCACATGGCCAATGTCAAAATCATTATCATCTTCATTGTCCATGCAGGAGTAATCTGATGTTTCACTTTCAACCTTCTCCAAAACTTCCAAATCTGATTTTTCTTGTGCCATTGTACTCAACTGGGCTACTTCTACCAGAAAAATCAAAAGAAAAGAATTTTAAACAAATCCTAAGTGTACAGAAATTTAGCAGTGAGAATTTTATGGGTAAAACTTACCTGTTACTGCTTTGGAGCTCTTGTATACACCTTGCCATTTGTCTGCCAAGTGAGTGAATGCACAGATGGGTTTTTGCTTTCCGCAGTTGCAGCTCCTGTGAGTCACACCCACATTCCATTATGGTAAAATATGTGTTTACATAACAGAAGAATGGTATGGTTATATTTTATCACCTGTGATGTTCAGGTAAACACATGAAAATTGTTGAAGCATTATGTGAGGAAAAAAATCCCAGTTTGACACTTCTGCAGATGTGCACATTGCTTGCTGTTCATTGTACCAACTGGGTAAACACAAAGATTGCTTCCTGTATCCCCAGGCACAGCTACTGAGATGCACAGCCAGCTACTATTATGCTAAAGCACAAAGTTACAGTAGAAATGTATGGGATGGGTTGCTGTAACCAAATGTTATGTATTATGGGTAATAAAAAGGATATAAAACAGAAAATCAAAATTCAATTACTATTGCCTTGGAAGAGGTCACCATGCCAGGAAAGGACCCTGATTTTTGGTTTCAAGGATAAATCCCCCTCTGGCCATGCCCCAGCTCTCAACTCACAGCGGCACTTTTGATGGGTAAAAGAGAAATTACCCTGAAACAGTGACTACAACACTTTTCTTGAGGGAAAAGAAGGAACTGTACATATTCTGAACAAGATGATGTAAGCAGAAACAGGCTCATTTTTCTACTTGTGTGGTTGACATAAAATTTAAGCAGAAGCCCACATTCCAAAAGAAAAATACTTTCTCTGAGCTGCCCAAGCATCAACTTAGGCCAAAGCAGGTCTTTCTGAGGCTCCCCCTTCAAATGGTGACTCTTCCTTGTCAGGGTTTCCAGCCACCCATTGAGGACAGCCTTCTCCCTTCCAGAGAGTGCCAAACCAGGCTAACCTTAATGGTCTACTGGAAACTTCCCCCTCGAAGCAATAGTTCTCACAAAGAAACACACTTCTTGTCTTGAAACAGATTACAGTTCTGATGTAATCATCTCTAAACACAAAAATATACCAGAAAGGCAAAGGTTAAACGTATTTTCTCCATCCTGCTTCTAGCAAATCTCCCTTGATTAAAAAAGAAATAAATTAATCAAAGCTTGTACACTGTTAAAGGAGGAGATGTTTATTCTGGCTCACAGTTTGTAGAAGTTTCAGCCCATAGTTGGCTGATTCCATGGCAGGGTGCCATAGCAGAAGGGCCTGACAGGCAGGAA